AATGTCTCAGATATTCATGAAGCTCTACTTGGAGAGGGTTTAGGAAAAGCATAGACTAAAGAATTTCCTAGGCTGGGAGCAAACATCTCCCTACAGCATCCCTGATATGGACACTTTAGATCTTCATGTGACAGCTGAAATCCTGACATCTCTGCTTCCTTCAAATTACCTCCACAGATGGTATTGCTCTGCAGCTGAAAGTACTACTGCTTTGAGAGAGGGCTTTTGGATATGGCCTGTTGTCTCCTGGAGATTAGGGTGAAACTCCATATCCTTTCTCCGTGTGATCTCATTACAGTCAGCTCTCTAGGGGTGAAAAGTGAGTTCACTGAACCAACTTATTGTGAAAAAATATTTTGAAACATAACACATTGTGGTTTGATCCTGTGTTCTCACAGGTATATGTTGGAAATCACTTGGTGGAAGTCAGTAACATGTGTGTTAAGCTCTCCGAAGTGAAAACAGAATGGAGGCCCTAATAGTTTTTCCTGCATCAGGAAATTTGATCTAATCCACAAGAAAATTATACATAAGTTCAAGAGTCCAGCATTTGGCCTAGTAGTGTGCAGTTGATTATAACTCTGGAATTGCCCCTTGACAGACCAGTTCAAAATGGTCTCCAAACATTTCTGAGAGGAATCCATATAGACATGATGGTAGCAAATGATGTCTGCAACTGTAAAAGCCAGTACTGACCTCTCCAGAACATTGGCCTGTTTGAATCTTTAGCAGTATTTTATCCTGGGCATGAATAACGTCTCATAGTGGCTGATTATGCAGGTTGTGCATAACTTTTTTGTGCTGCAGTAGAGATTCGTGAGTGTTCAGTACTATCACAAATGGCTCTCTTGTAGAGGTTATCTGGTGGAACTTCATTGAGTGTCTCCTTCACCTAAGACCATTTAATTTATGGCTGATTTAGAAAATGCCAGTATTTATTAAAACCTCTCCATAATGAAAATTTCTCACACCCTGTGGTGCTGTGCAGTCTAATAATGTAATAATAATATCCAGCCTGTAGCTGGATCAGTTCTTTTTATTCTGGACATGAGGTTTGGTTACAGCATCACTGGCCAAAAGAAGCAGCTCTTGGGTATCCCATTGTGTTTGTAGTGTCAGGCACTGGGGAAGATACCACCCATTCCATGTTCCTTGTAAATTCCCAGACCACAAGCACGCACACTCCCAGCTTTCACCCAGAGCTTTGTTTCTTGGGAGCTCATAGCCCTAAGATTTTGGTGTGTGGTTGTAAGGCCAGGGAGGTTGACGCTGGGGTGAAGATTTCACTAGCTCTCATTAAGCAAACACACATAGGCCCATGGGATGACCTTTCCAGTATTTCTTTTCCCAAGTATAAAAGCCAGTATCTCTGATCATGTTAGGCGGATACCACAAGTACAGGCATCAGCTGCAAACACAGCTTGGGTGGTTCCTTCTGAGCAGAAAAAGTCCCTGAAACCTGTGACTCCTACTGGGAATTTAAAGGAGTTTGGGACTGGTGACCCTAAACACAGCTGCTCAATAAACCACAGTCTGGTCCACAGAGTCCCAGAGAGGAGGGGAGCTCTGGTGTCCTGCCATGAGGGTCAGGGAGGGGGGCAGCCAGAGCATCCCCATTTTGATGTGTGAGACACAACAGGCCTGCTTTGTTAGCTCAGAGCTCTAGTGCTTGGGACATTGCCTTCCCTTCAGCCCTTTCCTTCCTCTCTCCTTGTGTTAATCCTACATAACTCTCTGCTCTTTCCATCTGGGTGGGGATCTTAAAAGACCCCTACAGTTCTGCAGGGCCTCTCCTGTTTGTGTGTAATAATACAGGATGGCTGGACCATTAACACCTTCTCTGAGCACAGCATGTTGGAGTTGCAACACTTTCCGGCCTGGGCTCCTTTGCCAAAGGGTATTGTGTGAGTGCACTCAACTTTTGTTTTAAAATCCCAAATAGGGTTTTCTTTTCTCTTTTCCTTCCAGGTTGTGTGTGTTTTTGCCATTGGTATCCATGGGACTTTTCCTCCTGTGGTTCCTATAGAGGTAACAGAGTCTGAGGCTGTTTTTATTTGTTGCTCTCCCTCTTTCTCCCTCCCCACCATAGCACGGTTTCTGGGAGGCTGGTAACTGAGAAGGAGAGGTTGAATGAGCCTGCAGAGCAGGAGGTGAACGTGGACCCTTTTGCTTTGAGGTCACTAGTTCAAACACAGCTGAGGTAAGTAACATCTGCAGGGTTTTGCCATCTGAGAGCTGGTAGCTGGATTTCCATCACAAAACCATAATGCAGGCAGGTTACTAGGGATTTATGACTGAGCTGGATTCTCTGGGATATAATAAGGTGAGTCACCACTGAAACCTTTTTCAAGATTGAGAAATTCCTACTGTTTCTGTCAGGTATATACTATTGGGGATCCAATAGGGGCCAGCTCAAATCACAGCTGTGCCTCCTGGGTTGTCCCACAGCTGCCTTTTGGCAACTCTCAAGGCAAAGGTGCGATAGCTTTGCAGAGGTCTGAGGCAAGTAAAGAAAATGATGTTTCTTCTGTTTTACCTCAAGAACACAGCTTCATGCAGCCACACACAGCTCTGTGATGTTATGGAAATGGAGACATAGAGATAGATATCAAAGAATGACCTATAGGTGCATGTGAAGTCTAGGTAAGCAGTGAGCAAATAGCATTCTGAGAGGAAGGTATCTCTACAAGAACAGAGGTGTCTGCTACCTCCCTTCATGTAATCCCCTGCATTTAGTCACAGCAAAACCGGGGGGAGGAACTCTTTGTATTGACAAAGGTGTGCTTTGTGGTTAGTGACAACACAGCTTTGTTTCTAAGTAGACGGGGACATCTTTGTAAGAATCAAGATTTGACTGCATGCTTTCTGAGCTGAAATCTTGTTCCATCAAAACTCAGTCTTCCTCTTCACTTGGCTGGGTACAGGAGTTCTGTCTCCTTACATAAGGGAGATGATACAAGTTGCCATCTGGGATAGGTCAAAAATATTAGTAGCATAACACTAGCAAGACAGAGCAGTTGCCATGAGTGATCTTATCACCTGCAACACAGAATGGTGATGAGGTGCCCAGGAAGAGGTTAAAATCTCATTAGTAACTAAGGAGCAGAAGCTTAGTCTTCTGTTGAAAGGCAGCATATGCTGTCCTGATGCACAGGAGTGACAGTTCCCAGCAGTTCTTCCCTGTATGTGTCAGGCCAGTAACCCTCCACCTGAACTAGGGCCTACCCTGAATCACACATACAGCTATTTGGGCTGCAGACCTGGAGCACTGTTGGGCTATGAGGGTAGCAATGAGCCAAAGTGCAGAATACCACTGATGACTCTTCTGTGCATGAAGAGTCTCTCAAGGATCTCTTGTTGCAGAATGGTCTCCTGAAACACAGTGAGAAATGACCAGGCTGATCTCTTTAGTATCAGTTAAGAGCTTTGCTCCCTCTCTGACCGAGGCTCCTGCACTGGATGTCACTGGAATTGTTTTAGCTTTCTATGCTGCAATTCCCTGGCTTGGGAACACCTTAACAATCTGTTTAGCTGGTCTTTTTAGGTAGCAAGCTTTGTGTATGCATATGCTGTGAGAGATTTGTCAGAGGGATTCCTGGAATGGGGTGCTGATTAGCCAGGGCCTCTTGAGAACTCGTCATGGTAGTCAGTATAATAGTTGTAATAACTAATAATAACAAAGTCAAGAATGGGAACAAAAAGCATCAGAGTACAGTGTCCTTTGATTTTGAGGCTTTTGAAGGGGAGCATAAAAGAAGGATTTGGGGACATAATAAATGAACCCCCTCCCTTTCATAGATTTCCTCCTGGGAAAAATATTTTATTGAGAGAGGTTATGTTAGCTGAAACAAGATGCAAATATTTTACTTATTAGAGCACAAGCTGTTTCTCGTCTCGTTGGCTCCGTTGCCAAGGCTGGCCTCAGACAGAAATCTGGAGTGTCCATTTCTGTAGTGTGTAGTGAGGGAGTCAGGGGGCACAGTGACCCAGGCCATAGATTGAAAACCTGCCAGAAAAAAGAAAAAAGCCCTTCTTACATCAATTGTTTTGCCATAAAACGTGACATTTGCATGGCAGCTGCCAAGTCTCTGGCTTTGTCTTCATAAATAGGGCTTTGGAACAAAGATGTGGAAAGTCCAGTGTGGATTGAACTGGGCAAATGGACTGGGTCTCAGCAGCCAACTTGACAAAAACTCTAATTACCCTGGGAGGGCAGAATACATACTGCCACCTTTCCAGTATGCACCCCTCTGTGTGAGTTCTCTGATGTCTCATAGGGCTAAGAGTGTTTTCTCTCCCTGGGAGAGCTAATAAGATTTAATTCCTCTCTACCTGACTGTTTCCAGAACATGTGGAGAAATGTGGCATCACTGAGCTCTTCGTCTCCATTGTGCTTTATTGAATCAGACAATGCTTCAGAAAGGAGATAGGAAGGCAGAGATGCTCAGGAAGATGAACTCATGTAAAGACTGAAATCATAGATGGATATCCTTCCCATTAGAGTTGTTCAATCACAATTTAAATCTATTGAGGTAAATAAACATCCATAAGTCTCTGGCTGAGAATTTCCTTACACTGCAGACTGTGAGAACCTGAGTGGCACAGGAGAGTTGCTGGGAGAAGCAGGGCTGTATTTCTTTCTTATGCTCCCTCCTTTAGCATAAGCAAGTGTCTGGTTCTGAGCACAGGCCCGATCCAGAGTGACAGCTTATATGGTTTTATACCAAGTTTCTTAAGGAACCTGTCTGCACTAGTAGTTTATAGCAGATGTCCAGTGAACAGTGTAAACACAAGGCATATCATATCACTAGTTCCCCAAGTGTTTTCTCTCGGCCTCTGGAAAATTCTGGTTTGAACACTTAGAGCCAGAAGTGTTATCTACATGTTGTGTTTTAGTACCTCTGCGGTTGATTTTTCTGTCATGCTTTTGTCTGACTAACTTTTGAGCCCGTGTAAATGACTGGCACATGGCAGAGCATTAGCTCCATAGTTTTAACTGTGCAACTGTGTAAAGACCTATCTCCCCTCTTCTGCCCTGTACCTCCAGCTGACTCCAGTTGATCTCCTGCATCTCTCGGAACTTGCAAGGTACTGTCCATCATCCCTCATCACTCACTCATGTTCCTTGTGGTTTTATAGATCTTGACCATATCTGTCTTCTACCTTCAAACATCTTAGTCTGTTCTCACAACAGCCATTCTCTTCCATACCTGTTCCAGTTTTACGATGTCCTTTGATGTGCCGTGAAAAAAGCTGGATGAAAACTGCCTATTTCCCTGCCTGAGCCAAGGATTGTTTGGCTTCTAATATCACTTAGAGCAATTTAGGGTTTGTTCTATGCTTAAAATCCTACTGGTGAGCTGAGAGGGCAAGAAAAGGTGATCCAGAACCAGATATGGCTGGTTCCTGCTCTGTTCTATCAGGTTAACTCCAGCTGCATTGTCTGGAATGAGAGCAGGTTCAATTGAATTAGAAGTGGAGAAAGTTTGTCAGTGAGTTGGCAGATGTATTTTGCTTTACACCATGGAAACGGATATGGTAGTAGGAATCATTGCCAGTCAGTTTGCATTCTCTCTGGCTCTATTTGCCAACAAGAAGATACAGCAAAAGCCAACTGTTCTTGCCTAGTATCCCATTCTGAATCTGCTTAACCATGTATTCATTCCCTGATCTGTAAATACTGTTCACGTTGAATATCTGTTGTGAAAATAGTTCAGAGGTGACTGGTTTCTTTTTGACCCCTGGAAACTGCTTTCAAAAAGATTTTTGCAGATGCTGCATTTTGCAGCCTCCTTTCTTCCCACTCAAGGAATTCAATGTGGGCAAAAAGGATATCTTCTAAGGGCTTGCAAAATGTTATGCTCCAAGGCTGAGCATGTGTTTTTATGAAATGCATGAATAGCTTCAACCACACTGAGGGAAAATGCATTCTATAAAACTTAAGCCGTTGCAGGGCAAGCTGCAAAACTGGATATGTCATGCTGTCAAGAAAAGACAGTTCCTTCAGTCTTCCAAGGTGAAATCCTAGCCTTCATCTAACTATATGAAGCTGGTGGCAAATTTCCCAGATTTCAACAGGCCAGGGTTTCATGTACAGTTGCGAAGGGGCTGTAATGGACTGGACAGAGTTAACTCTGATGTCACCCAGGCAGTGAGATTTTTCCCAGTGTTTTCTTCATGTGGGTCCAGGAACTTGCTATTGAATTAGAATCTGTCTAGGAGGAGTGCTGGTAATTGCAGAAACAAATCCCAGGGGTTGCCATTTAATCTACAAGTTCGGTTTTGTTTCAATTAGCTGTAAAGTTGGCAATGAGCACAAATGGAGAACCATGAAATGAAAGCTCCTCCAGTGAACACTGTGTCCACAAACTCTTCAAATTGCTGATTCTCATTAGGGAGCCAAGGGAGGGGAGAAAATGAAACCACAAAGAGTGAGATCCAATTAGGATCTTTCTTCTTTGTTCTTCCACCATCTGGAAATGGCTGGTTTATGTTCTAGAAAAGGGGCACGTTCTAGACCTAGTTGTGCAGTCACTTTGCAGGGAAGTTGTCTGTCTGAACTGAGAGATTGCTAAGGTTTCGTTTACATGGGATGAAGGTGCCCTTCCATTTCTTTTCCCAGGATTTCTGCTTCCACTCAGGTATAAAGACAGGTCGTGCTGTTTCCACACGTAGAATCAGCTTCAAAACAGAACTTAAGCCAGTTAATATTGTGTCCAGATTCCTCCAAAGAGCAGAGTCTAACCTCAGCATGTTCGAATATGTAGGATCTGAGAGCTTTTCCCCAGTGGCATTTACTTGCTGAGCCAAACTGAATGTTTAATAAAAAAGGAAACTTATCACCTGGTTTCTCTGCTCATAACTCCTTCTGTGCTGTCACATGCTGCTTGTCCCTAATAGCAGTGTGATCCTGGCAGACAGAGCACAGTCAGGCTTTGGATTGTTTGTGATCATCCTTGCTATAGTCCAGCTTTCAAGAGTTATCTCTGTTTTGCAAATAGCAGGGGCAACTTGCTTACTTGACCAAGCCCTGAACTCAGGCTTCATTAAGCCTAGAACTTTTCAAGTTAAGTATGATTCAGGTAAATACCAACTGAAAGCTAAAAAAGCTGCTTCTCTGGCAGTTTTCGCCTGACTGTGTTTCAAGAAAAAGTGATGTTTTCCCTGCTTTTTCTACCAAACAGACAGTCACTCAAGCAGGACTAAATATTCTCCCAATTAATATAATAACTTGTATTTTCAAAGTTCACTCATAGACATTTTCATCAGCACCTCTCAAAGGGGAAAAAGAGTGCACAGAACTGAAATTGTCTGAGGTGACAGAGCAAGCCACGGTCAGAGCTGGAATCAGGATTCCTGACTTCTGGGAAATGTTTATCTGCTAGACACAGATCTCTCTTACTGCTGCTGAAGATGATGACAGCATTTTCATTAGGCAATTCAAAAAGAACAATTGTTCTGTTCAGTGTTATACAACAAGAAAATGTATATTCAAAACAGAGCCAACGCTGTTAATTCTTTGTTTCCAACCTGCTGGATGTTGCTGCCTTATGAAGACACCTTTATTAATTTCCCTAGCAGGAAAAGCAATAAAACCATGCTAATCATCAAAGATGTTGCTATTACAGTTCCCAAAGCTACCTCCGTCATATAATCGTTCTTAGTGGAACCCTTAGAAGTCTTGTTACATGAGTTGGACTGGAGAACTCCAAAGGTGCCATACAGTCTAACTTATTCTATGATTTTACAGGCTATAGGGCATCATTCAGCCCCTCTGAGAAAGGTCCTGTGCCAGCAAATTCTTGTTTGGGAATACTGAAGTCTGCAGGGATAAGGTTCTTCGAACGTTGTGACTGCCAGAAACTTGGCTAGAAACAGTTCACCACTATGGCTTTTATAAAGGTTTTCCCAGGATCCTTTGCAATCATAAGCACTTTTTTCTTATTATTATTCCATTTGCAGACTGTTTACCCAGTGCAGAAGTGGTGGGTGAGCTCATGTCATTCCCACACCAGGTTTTCAGAATGAGAAAGCTGTGTGTTACCTCATGCTCTGTGGCTTTGACCAAAGCAGCGGTCTCTGACAGGTGTTAGGTCAGAGATCACAGGGTAAAGGGTGACTAAAAAGTCGTGGTTAGGGGTAGATTTACCATGTAGTATCTCAGCTGTAGGAGTAAGACTTTGGGGTAAAGAACAAGTAGCAAGAGTAGAGAGACTGTTAAAAAATAGTACACCTTTCATGTACCCTCACATATTAATCAAGAGAATGCTCAGAGAGAAACAAGGAAACAGAAAATTCTTAGAGCTTTGTTTCAATTGATTATAACTCCTATGGCTCCCATGGTATCTTATCTTCACCAGGACATTAAAGACAACCCAGTCTCTAACACTTTCTCCTTACTGCATTCCTGTGTAGGAAGGCTGTGATACCCTGCCCATGTTATAAATGAAACACTGCAGGGTTGAGGGACTGCCCCAGGGTCATGCAGGCAACCAGTCTTAGAGCAGAGAATTATACAATGATCTCCCAGATTCTGATCAGTGCCTTAACTGCCTTTGCCTCCCTACCTAGCATGCTTCAGAACACACAGGAAATCTTACTTTGATGCTGAGATAGACATTGCACCTCAGGCACTAGAAAGAGTGGAGCATGGGAGTCCTTTCAGAAAAGTCTTTCTCTCTGAGTAGTTACTCTTTCAATCCCACTGAACATCCAAGAGACTCTGGTGTCAAGGATAGCTCAGCGTTGGCCTTAAGGCCATAAAGCAGTCTCATCAGTCAAGAGGACTATTGAAGTAAAAATGATCTGGACAGTAAATCGCGGGATCAGAATCTGGCCCAAGGAAAGAGAAAAAGAGTGACATTGCTTGCCAGGGAAACTCATCTGAACACCTCTAGAAATTTAAGGAAAACCCTACAGGCACACCAGCAAAGCATTGCACTGGTTTCCATTAAATGGTTGTCACAGATTCTGCTTGCAAGCAGATCCATTTCTTACTAAATAAAGCAGTTTAGCCATTATGTATTAAAAATAAAATCTGTGATTTCAGAAAGCAATAAATTCTACTTTGAACCATTAACATTTTTGTTAGGCAACATAATAGTGTGAACATCGCTTTGTCTTCTGACAGTGGATTAGTCCCCCAAGCCCCCTTCTGCTCTTCAGGTCACTAATGAGCTATTCAGCCCTCAGTAAGCGAACTGTGTGGCAGTCATCACCCAGGATCCTCCCCACCCCTTTCAGACACATAAACACCTTTATGACCATTTTATAAGTGCGATAACACAGGTCAAGCTGGAAGTAGGGTTCTAGTTTCATTAATCTAATTGGACAGCAAGGTGGATTAAAGGATTAAACTAATAAATGGAGATAACAGACTTTTCAGCTGTTTCAGTCTGGCAGAGCAAGTTCATTCTAACAAAGCTTAACCCCATAAACCACATTTTTACCACCTTGAAGCTCTCCGAGGTGATGGTTCTCTGACATCCCGCAATGCTCTTCTAATTCCCATGCCAAAATATTAGCTGCCACCCTTCACCCTCTGCGAATTACTGGGCCAGAGCCAAGAACCTGTCAGCATAAGAGAAGCAAAATCAGATGGTACAAGCCTGATTACAGTCCGTTGCTGTCTCACTCAGCCCTCCCACTGGTCGTTTCTCAGCAGACTCACTGCTCTGCCACATTGTTCTCCTGCCAGGTCATCAGTCGACAACGTTAATAAATGGTTATAAAGATAAGTTCCATCTTATCCTGAAGGCCTGCAGGAGATGGAAAAGATTCCTACAGAAAGAAAAAGATGCAAGAGGTAGTCTCAGCCTGGGGCTTTTTTGGTACAGCAAAGGAAGGCAAGACCTCACTGGGAAGCAGTGTGCTCCACAGAGTGAAAAGCAGTGAGTGAGACTGTGATGTGCGAGCTCAGTAAAATCCTTCCATCTCTGATTTTTCTCTAATCCCAGTCCTTGCATCCAGTAAAAGAAGACTGTCACACATTGCACAGTTTCTCATTTCCCTTCTGAAGTCTTTGCAACAGCAGAAAGCGGGGCCTGGAGCAGATCCAGGTACTTTTTCACTTTGCCACGTACAAGTGC